TTTAATATTGAAAGTGTAATATTTTGTTTAGAAACATCATTTTGTATGAGTTTAGTAGGCATAATTTTATAACACCCGTTAATTAAATTCGAAATGTCATGTTCAGAATTTAGAAAGTAATTGTTTGTTGGTTTGTGACACACAGGAAAATAATTTAAGCTGCTGGCATCTCCAATTCGCTGGTGTTTAACACGTGGAGTTGAGAAACGATTATTAACTAAATTAAGAAGAGCACATATTGGACAGGCACAGATATAATTAGAATTTGGCATACAAATTTGGACTCGTAAAAATACGATACGTAGAAATTGAATAACTGATTGATATATGTTATGAAATGATACTAAATATGATTAATAGTGGGTCTGTTATTATTCTGGTTGACGTTCGTGGCATATATGAGAGAGTTGTCTCTGAATTCTCCTGAGCAAATACACAAAATCTATCATTCACGATACTTAGCAACCCGATAAATGATTCAACCAGTCACCTCACAAATACAAGTCCATGGTGCTACCGCTACTTTGCCCTGTTCCGCGTGTAATTTAATTTTATTACTAATTATTGTTTGTCAGTGAAGATGGCATCTCGACTCTCCTAATGGGACAGGATTTGTCATTGGATGTGGCACGGAGTCACATTCATAAGTAAAGCTATTAAGCCTATATATCTTTGAATAATCTTCCCTGGTTTCAAATGTTTACGGGTTGATACAATTAACCATTCTGACTGTTTAACTCACAGAATACCTATTCCAAGAGGAATCTGTGTCATGAACTATACGGTAAACTCAATTGTGCTTTCAGAATAATTCTTCTGTTAGAAACGCTAAATTTTTTCCTGATTCTAAAAAAAAAAAATTACAGCTGTAAATTTTAACCCCACTTCACGATTCCAAATGCGAGTGGTACATCCCATTTTACTCAAAACATCCTTTAATCAGTGATACAGCGTTATTTTATTTCTGCTTTTTTTAGAGACAGTAAATGATTGCTTGTACTCCCTCACCCTCTCCTGACCCATTTCGTTAGTCGAGGAGAGAAGTCCACGGCGGAATTAGGCACTTCGACCCTAACGCAGCACTTTTAACCCAGTTTGAACCCCTAACCTTTACCTACCATGAAAGGGATTAAAAAATACAACGCAGTTAAAAATATCACACACACGCAAACAAATAAATGCCAGAATTCCAGCATTTATTCCTGTTAATGAAAACATACGTATGTATTAATTACGTAAAACCATGCAAGTACATCTTCATATATTAAAGCTTAAACTGATTGAAAATGGATCTTGTTTTTGAATGATGGTAGGAATAAACTCATTCATTGTCAGCCGGTAAGATATATAATGAGTGGTGGCAAATTTACGCCGCGTAGGTAACTCAATGAAAACGCTGGATAAATCTGGCTCAGGATAGAGTCCTGTATGTGTCTTGGTATATCTTGCAACTGATAAAATGTATTTCATGCTATAAATAGCACGTGTAACAATAAAAAATAAAATAAGAAATTAATATATCGGTGGTCTAGCGGTCAGAACACTAGCCTTGTAATCCTGGGGTCCCTGGTTCAATTCCCGGTGGTGCTCAGATTTATAACTTGTGTTGGGCAAGGCCGTGGTCTAGGCATCACGGAGTTTTCCTCCGGGTGCTTCCCCGGTTTCTCCGTGGCATCCCAACAATTACTCCGTTCACACACAGAAGAAGGCAATGGCAAACCACTTCTGGATCATCTGCCAAGAACGTATATGAACAGGTCCCAGTCCGAGAAAAGGATGGAAGGATCCTGTTCATATGGACCTGTCGTCAGACAGAACACTAAAAAAAATGAGTGGGGATTAATAATACGCATACTACAGAAAGAATAGAATTTCGTACTACAAACGTAACTGATAGGACCATCTTGAAATAATAGAAGGAAGTCGTAATAGAGTTCTGATTCATTGCCCTCGAGGGAGACAAAATATTGGAACACCCGTCAATGGATTTACTGAAAGAAGTGTAAAAAATACGACGAAACAGGAAATCGGGCGTAATCTTTGAAGACGATACAGGCGATGAAGAGAAATCAATTAAACGAAACGGCTAAGGACAATTTAAATACATTATCTCAGGGGTAAAATGCTTTGATGGTTTGTGACTCTTGTAGTCTTGTGTGATTTCAACGATTTTTCGGAGAAATTCATCACCTTCATCCTCATGGCTTAATTCAAGTAACCTATGTAGTCTTTCATGTGGTTACCGATTTTCGGTTTTCAATCTGAGAGGGGTGGGTCCTATGGAAATGCTGGTAAACGCATTTAAGGCAACATGGTGTCACAACGAAAAAGGTCACGATTAATCTCTTCAGTGTTGTGAAATCAAAAATATTTGATGCTATCTCAGAATGTAGATAAACTGAAGAAAAAATACAAAAATTCATTTAAAAATTCCCTGATTTTTAGCCAGGATACAATCTAAGGGCTCTCGATTGTGAAGTTCTAACCAGAATACAATTATGTTGTGTCAAAACGGTTTCTGTCTACAATAACAAACCTATATAACGCATAACCTGAGTTAACTATCACCTGCACAGAAATAATTCTGTAGCATTGCGCTACCAAATAACAGAATTCTACATTGTTTTAACTTCTGTTGACTTCTGCTAATTAAATTTAAAATAATGATATGATAAATTTTAATATCACGGGTACATTCAATAAAGTTTTTGTATTCTATACTGTGCATTTGCACAAAGGCGTTGAAGGCTTTCAGTTCTGTACCTATATTTTTATTACATAGAATTCTGTACCTCTGAACATGCTGGATTTGACAAGTAGTAGTCAATGAAAAATAATCGCCAGTTCCTTTGTCCCTTACCTGTAGAAGAGAACAAATAACAGCCCTATCAAGTTAGAAACACAAAAAATGGACCAATTGTTCAACCTCTGAAACAAGACAACGATGGCATTTGTGTTCAAACGCACACTGAAAAGAGCTTTGGCATAAAACAGAAAACGAGGGCAGAGCTAACATAGTTTTCCGTGTGCTTTGGTTTCCAACGAAACAAATGGAAAATCCGATCATTCCATAGCTACTGTGGGATCATTGTTTGTCACAAGCTAGTACTGTTTGCCTTCACCAGCGGCAAACAGCCAATGAGGACCCCAACAGTAGCTGATAACACCCCTCCTGTGTTTGATCAGAAGTAGGGGGGGTAGAATTAAATACAAAAAAGAGGCTAAATGGCCTTTAGCAGCACTGACGCTGCTAGGTGGAGAAATGTTCACTCGATTTCAGGATAGAACAGTCTGACTGTTCAATACAACAGTTGGTATGCTTGCTAAAATGGGGAATTCCTTTGTCTTATTAGCAAAGCTAGCGTTTATCTGGGTAGTGGCTACTATTTTCTCTGCAACTTAAGTATGTATGGAATACAAATAAGTAGACAAGAATTAAGTAATACCAAACTAAACAGATGTTAAAATGCTCTTATTACAGTCATAAAATTAAAAAAATTACAATGGGCTGAGGATGACGGAAACAAGAAAAGTTTTCTGAATTTTAGTGGACAAATAATATGGCTATTGCGCGAAATATCTTGATGCGAGGGCAATAAGCGACGAATCATTGCGACAAGTTCTGAAATGTGTGAGTTGGCACGTCATAGAACCACCTGTGAAGAGTACACAAAATTCCGTGTGCCGATGTCGGGAGATTTTAATGCTTGTTGCATAGAATACTCAAATATTTAAACATTTTAACTTTATGCGTGCGTTATTTAAGACTATCACATAATTCAAGTCTAAAACACTCATAATGTAAAATCTTTCAATACTCTCACGTCTCAGCAACTAGTGGTCATCAGCGTTCGTTATTCGTTATTCACTAATCCTTGGTTTAACATACCATCTCTCTTTCAGTTCTTGTTTTATAAGTTTTACTTGTTGGTATCATTAAAATTGTTTAAAAATATATTAACTTAAGATATAATTAATTTGTAAATATGCAATAGACCTGTTTACCCCAAGTTCCGGTGTTTCGTGTACACAGATCCATGTGTAAATAAACCAAGTTCATAACGTGTCGACATAATACCATTTCTACCTATTTCATGCAGTTCTTGGTCTGTTATGTGTTTTGTATCTAGTTATTATTAATTTAATTCATTACTATGTGATTAATTTCAATTTAATAATATACAACGCACGTTTATTTTGAATTTGGGCTTCGCATTAAATGTAACACAGCATGAAGTCATACAGAAAGCGTACACAAGTAGCTTCATTGCATACAGGATACGAATACGGGACCCCAAGAGATACAAAGGGATACATTTCATTTCTAGCATTCCTCTAACGAATTGCTTTCATTTCGTTACGTACCCCGTGGCTGCTGTCAACAGCTGATGAATTAATCGTGAACAATGAAATGTCATGTAGAGAGACATGATTAAATACTGTCAACTACAAAAGACATACATATCATGTTCAAGCGGGAGAATAGGGATTTGTATAAAATAAATACACGCAACCTCGAATACTGACTGTCCTAATGGTACCTTCGGTTGCCACCAACCATTCTTGTTCTAGTCAGAAACCCTGAAGACAAAGTAACTTTTCGGAGACCTAGACCTGCTAATAGATAGAAAGATGATATTAAAATGGACCATAATTATATATTATATGAGAGTGCGGATTGGACTTATGTGGTTCAGGTTAGAGACCTGTAAAGAGTCCTTGTGAACATGGTCATGAACATGGTGTTCTTCGCAGGAGCAAGCTTTAAAAACCATCACATATGCAATTAATAAACAAGTTTCGCAAAAGCATAGTTCTATGTTGTACCGGAAGTCTATGCATAATTAAGAACGTACAAAATTACGGTTTAGAAGCAAAGAAGAATAAATAAAAACATCAAATTAGAAAGAGGAATGGAAAAGAAATATAAAAACAGTTGAATTTTTTTAATAATATTTAAGTATTTAGTAACAGTAATTTATAATTAATATTATACTGGTTCGCGTTTTAGGTATGTTTGATTGGAATTTAGTTTCGGGCGGAGGACAAAATATCCAGGTGGAAGGAAGGTGCGAATGTAGTAAATATCCTGGAGTGTCGGAATTAGGAGGGAGGCTGGAGAATCTCACGATAAAAACTGCCACCTTGCGAAATGAGAGGGCTTCAGATATGGACGTGTTATTTTAACGGAGTCCAGTGGCGAACATAACAATAAAACTCAAGTCTCCGTAGAATTTGCTGACTAGCTGAGCAAACTCTTAGCTTCCATGAGGGCATTTTAGTATCAGAATAGACTAAAACAACCCCAAACATTATGGGTGTTTATTAATAACGCTATTTTAAATATAGCCCTTTGCTGTTATAATGATTGAAGTTAAATCTCTAATATTATTATTCGGGAAAATCTTGTAATTAGTTATCTCGGGCAAGGGTGCCAGCCTCGAGGAATAAAAATTGAGGTCTAAGTCTCTATAAAAACGTAGACTTAGAAAATATTGCTTCCCGTATTTTGTAAACCTAGCTCTTCTAATTGTGTTATTATTTCTGCAAGAGCATGGAACGAGAAGCAAGAGTACGCAATACAAATGTATCAACAACTAACGGAATACACAAGCTACCATGAAGTATTTCAGAGCAACTATTAAGGGACCTAGAATGTTCCGGGAGTAAAGCTGAGACGTCAGTCTTTCCACGAAAACTCAGTCCCAGCAGCAAACATATTCTAACTATAGCATATTAAACTTTCGCTGACACTGTCATAATTATTTCCAATATATCACATACTTGCCAGCGTAATCCAGTGTGATTTATAAGATAGTGTACAGATTTTGTATATAATGACGTACAAAACAGTTCACATGAAGTAATGTTCAGGAGGTAACGAAAGCTCAAAATATATATTCAATTCATTAAATCTCAGTAGTGCATTCCTATTGGTTACAAATAAAACAGTTCGAAACCCGGGAACAGCTTTAGCTGCAGAACCAACGCGAGGTCAGCTCTTGTCTTATTGAAGTTGACGTCAGAATATCTTGACACATAATATGGTAGTGGCCAAAGAGCATCTGGCAATAAAACTCGGGCCATTCTTGAGAATTAAATTTATGTGTTTCCAGACGAGGGATGCGTGATACAGATAAGGCTCTGGGTGCACGCTTGCTTGATTTACAACTTAATTACGTGACTTTTATTTTACTCCCCACCCTAGAAAAAAATATATAACTTACAACGTATATATAAAGGGTGAAACGACCCTATTCCGCACAAGACATGCAATAATCTTACTTTGCCAAATTTGTGTGTTTTATGGACTTGATGTTCGCAGCCAACAAGTACAAAATAAGTTACATAAGCCTCTGATGTTCGTTGCTTACTTGTGATAATTTATACGAACCGTCTCTATGGTATGTAGTTTTTTTTTTTGAAAAGCTGATAACTGCTGAGTTACTCAAGAAATGCCACACATTTATGTTAAGGAACTTTCTCGTAGCATAACTCGAAAGTTCCACACCGCTAACAGCAAACAAAGCCCAATATTCAACATTATCCCATCCTTAACCTTAAAAAACTAATATTTAATAGGCCTACTCTTTACAACGAAACTTTTCAATTATACAAGCAATTAGTACAGCTCATGAATGTGCTGCCAAAGATACAATGTTGGTGAAACCCAATAATGGCCATCACTGCACTGAAAGTGCCTCATTATTAATCCCATTACTTGAGAGGATGGACAGGTAATTGTTGTTTTAATTTATTACATAACCACATTTTTTTCTGTCTCTCATGACAGATAAATCATGTAATATATAACCAAATATAGAAAAAAAACAATTACCTGTCCATCCTCTCAAGTAATGGGATTAATAATGAGGCACTTTCAGTGCAGTGATGGCCATTATTGGGTTTCACCAACATTGTATCTTTGGCAGCACATTCATGAGCTGTACTAATTGCTTGTATAACCACATCATCGGTGAAGTTCTGTGTATACTTAACTACGTTAACTTCCTTCTGAAGACATTCTTCTGCTTGAAGAACCTCAATCCTCTCAACAACTTCCAAGTAACGATTTCTGCATGCATCAATTTCACTGGCCGCCAAAACTAAGGCAGCTTTATGACGTTCTATTTCTTCATCTCTAAATACCATCATCCGCTTGGTCCTGTCTAGCTGCCCTTTTAATTCAGCCACACACTTTATCTCATCTTCATATAAACTCTGTCGAACGTCTCTGAGTACTTTTTCAGCTTCATGATTTAAAACAGCCAATTTTAACCCATTAATCAGTGCTTCCATTGAATTACATTTCTCTGTAAGTCCAGCAATGTCCATGTTCTTCCTCTCATTTTCACTTTTCATATACTCAATGACTTTAACCTGTTCCGCCACTTGGTTTCTACTAGCATTATTTGCAGTGTCTAACATTGTCATATGTAGCAATTCTTGTTCACACTGTTGCAGTCTCTCATCCCTCCTGCTCAATTCCTTGTCTTGTTCTGTTTTTTGCTGCGCCATGATACCTCTGGCTGCTTGAAGCTGCTCTTCTAGAACCGTAAGCTGCGATTTCTGACTACGCCGAAGAAAGTCTTTTTGTTTTAACTCTTCTCGTAAATGTTGAACTTCCATCTCCAGTTGCACCTACAAAACCATTACAACCAATAACAATAAATTGTCATACTTTAATAAAATATTGTAACGTGGGTTGGGTTTTGCGACCTTGGATTGTCAACCCTGATTTATTCACGTCAAAGTAAATCAATTACTCTGGTCTTCACATACAGTCATCTCTCTACAACAACAACACACATTCTCTCTCACTCTCCATCGAGTCTATCTGGTCCCCGAGCTCCTCTCTTCGCACTCTTCTCCTACACGTCGGCCCGTAGCACCCCACTGGACACACGCTGGCCCCTCGGCCGCCCCGGTCCACGTACCCGGTGCTTGCTCACGCAGCCGCCCCGTCCATACTCGTCGTCGTCGGCCCGTAGCACCCCACTGGACACACGCTGGCCCCTCGGCCGCCCCGGTCCACGTACCCGGTGCTTGCTCACGCAGCCGACCCGTCCACTAAACTGTTTATTGACATTGTTGTTCTGCTCTCACGAAAACACGTTACAATATTAAAGAGAAAAATATTTTTCACATTAAAATAATAGAAATATGAAATGATGCAATAAACAAAGTTCTCTAACAATAACAGAAGAATTAAAGAAAAAAACACAAGTTTCCTAATGGTTACAAAAAATTATCATTTACCATGAAACAAAATTACACATCTTGGCTTCACAGCTCCGTCCACCTTTACCTTGTTGGTAAATAGTGCCCAACGAACCACTTCATTGTTTACATATAGTCGTCGAAACAATCGGACAGAAACGTCATGAAATACAAACACGGTTTCTTGTGATATGTTCGCAGTTACACGTAATATGTTCCATTTTAGCTGGCTTCAACGGACTTGTACGCCAAACACTTCAGACCTACACGTTCAGAGAAAGCAACGTTCACGTCTTGCTAGCTGTCCCACTACACGCCATGTAGGCGCATTGAGGGAGTGGAGGTATAGCTCCTACACTTTCTTGACCTCGGCTATACCTCCACTCCCCCAATGTTGGATCACACATGACCAAGGAAGAACAAATCATATTTTAGAATACCCTACAAGCTGTAAAAGAACCTTACGAGAATCATACGAGATGTTTCATAAGAAAAATTCAGCGGACATTTATCAACTAGTCTCTCCTGATTAACTGTTAGATGGCTCTGGCAGTCAAATCAGGAGTGAGTAGAAATTGTGCAGTCAGTGGGATGGTCACTCACTACTTATAAATGCACACTTCAAGACCAAGGAACCTCAGGAGGAGGTGAAAACCTACAACCTGGTTGTAGAGCCAAGAAACAACAACAAGGCTTTCATAAAAAACGTTATAAAAATTCCGATGCACGAGAGGCCCTTGACCTTCGCAACCCCCCTTTCAATGCTGCTGCTGCTACTACACAGAAATAAACAAAATCACGACCACCACTTTCTTCTGTATTGTGTTTAATTGCTTGTCTGAAGACTATATGTTCAACAGTACCAGTACGAAACAGTAAAACACGCCTCACAACATTAAATGGAAGAATGTAAGGAAAATTTTCATGTTGTTTAGATAAAAAATAGTAGATAACGAACGTTCCTATCGATAGTCGAATGGACAATTGAAAAAATAAAATAAATAAATGTGGTAGCTGAGGATCAGTACGAACTATTACGTTTACGAGAGAAATGTTTGAAAGAGTAACTTGAAGTTAATATCGATTACGTAAATAATGCTAGGAAACTCTACACCACAGGTAGCTCAAATAACCTAAAAATGCTAATAAATTTATTAACCATGTTGACGACAGTCTCTTCATTTCTAGTCCAATTTTCCAGTAATCGTTCGGTATCTTCCATATTTAAATTGTCCTTTAGATTAAGAAACTTCGTATTTCAGGCCTCTTCTATATACAACTGAAATATTTTCTTCGTCGACAAGATCTTTATAAACAACAGTTACTACGGAAACGAAAGTTGTTTTAAACAACTACAGAAAGCAACAAAATTGTTATCTATTGTTGAGATACTCACCACTTATGAATGTTGCTACGTTGCGCAACAGCTGCCATCTATTGTCGACAGACTCGAAATTGTTTGTGGTTATTTTCCTAATAACACACAGTAAGAAGATGCTGTCTTCTGTGTTGTTGCGTGGTGTAAACTACGCCTTTCGGTAGTTCAGACTAATGAGAGCTTGATAGTGTATTTGAAAGGATGGAAAAGGAAGCGGCCGTGGCCTAATTTAAGGTAAGATCCTGTCATTTGCCTGGAGGTAATGAGGAAAAACCACGAAACCCCTGTCAGGAAAGCCAGTCTCCGGACCGAGATTGTAGGAAACTGGCAATGAAATCTGGGTTTAATTTCTCTGTACAACTCTTGTTAGGAACAATGTTTTGCTCTGATAAATATTTATCGAGCTACGATCGAGATAGGCACAGAAATGTAAGTACATGAAAAGTCTCCGTTACTTGTCAGAACTTAACAATTGGAAATATGTCCAGATATTTTAGTTAAACTAGAGCAGGGCGCTCCTTTCGGAGCTCCTACGGGGGGGTTGGTCAAGTTTGTAAAACGCAACCAAGCTTGTGTAAGAAACTAAACTAACCGTCCCGAATTGAGGGTTAAAACAATAGGGGGTTGGTTGCGTTTTGAAATCTTAAGTAACATGCTAAACTAACTGCCCTTCGGGGGGTTAGTTAAGTGTCTCATTCAAGTGTTTTAACCCTTGAGTAAGAAACTAAACTAACCCCCCCCCCCGAATGGTGGTTAAAATACTTGACGAACCTCCCTCCGGGGTGGTTGATTGCGTTTTAAATTCTTGAGTAAGACACTAAACTA